CCAGAATCTAATCCAGGAGTCCTTGACAGGACAGTTAGAGCTGTATCTACAGGTTTTGGAAACAACTCTTTTACAGCCTGAAACATAAAAAAATTCAGATAGTCATAGAGCCTCACCCTTGTAAGTTTTAGCAATTTATCAACTAGGGCTGTGGGGTCTCTCACTCCAAATGGAACATAGTCTCCCAGCCCCCATCCACTGGTCTAAGTGATAACACATGGTGACTACGTATGCTCCCTGCATCAATCATTTTACGATTTGCCTGTGCAGTGACAGGAGTGTCATTATCGCATACAATAATCTCATTATCCTCATCACAGTCTTCGTCAGTGTTCTCCTTGTCCCATTCAGTCACATTATAGACTCCTTTCGGTCTTACACCTTTCTCAGAGCCTACAGTCACCTTTTGGTCTTGTCTTTAGTCTCTAGTCCCTGTTGTTGTATTAGTTTTCTCATGACCTTTTCCTGACACTTCATAGTATCACAGACATTCATTCCATTTTAATTTCTTCTTCTGTACTTTTTTTTTTTGGATACTTCCTTCCTCTATGTCTTCATCCTGTCGGTCACCTTCTCCCTTCTATCCTCTAAACTCTTTTTCAAGATATTGGTCTCTATTTGTGATATTCTAATTTAGACAAGTTCATAGGAGTGTGTCCTACACTCAATAAGCCAAAATGCTCACTCAGTCCCACTCATCTGAGCCAGAGTCTGATGGACTGCATGGTCTCTGTCGCCTTCCCCCATGTCTAGTCAAGCTTTGGCAGTCCTCTCTAATGTTGTATCTAACTTTTCCTAACATTTCCTTTACAGGCGCCATTATCCCCACAGGAGGCCTCAGTGTACACTGGGGATTTCAATTGTATGTGTTTGTTAGTCACTCAAAAATTTCTTAGTACATGTTTGTTTATCTGCCTTCTGTGTCTTTCTGTATAAAACTAATTGCACCTGGGCTGCAGCCACCTTTGCCAATACATGTATTATCTCCTCACCTACCACTTATCATATCATACTATACCATATGTATTTATCATTATCATTCATAATTATTATTACTTATAATTATTAATTATTTATACAGCTGGCCACAGTGCTGTACACACAGGACAAACAATGACAACACAATACAAACGCAATACACCTACTAAACACATAGTACACTGGAAAATAATCAATACCAAAAAATATACATTTACACTCAACCAATTTCTACTCTGGTTCTTTCTTTAATTCTAACTTTCTCCTCCATCAACAACCCTGACAATTTCATCCATGACACTATCTGTTCAGGTTCCAGGCCTTCTGTTTTACCTCTTTTTGTAGTTTCGTGCATCCTCTCATACAAATCACTCACTGGCAGACACCCCCTCTCCTTACATTCGCTGCCACACTCTACATCCATATCCAGAATGTACTTTCAACTTTCAACTTAATTAGACAAAGCAAAATTAATTCTCACAAAAAATAAATACCTTACCTGTTTCTGGGGGACCCAAACTCCCCAAGGTATACAGGAACCTCACAATGTTACACCACGTCTGGTGTAACGCCAGTCTACGGCAAGTCAACCTTTCCTTAGTACCTTTCACTGGGCAGTACTTCTCTCCTCAATTTAATATATCCAATAGTAGAAATTCGGTTCCGTAGAACAACAGGTTGTCTGCTTACCTTTCAAAAGTGGCAGCCGCTCTTGGAGAGAAATCCCGTCAAGTGGAGGGTGCGGAGTCCTACTCCGTCTTGCGCAATCATTTTATGGGACTCTAACCCAATGGGACTCTAACCCAACTTTACAATGGGACTCTATCCCAGAGTGGGACTCTAACCCAACTTTACAATATTAACTTAAAAATCACAACATACCTTTAAATCACAACATCAACTTAAATCACGTCGGAGGTCACCAAAAAGTGTTAGGTATCCTCAAAAAAACATTCAGCGTGTTCTCTTAAAAATAACCACTGGAATCGAACGATTAAAATCAACAAGAATTTATTCCCGATACAATACAATTCTAATACAGAGCTCTGGGTCAGATTGTTACCCCTGACCGCCTACGGCTACACAGGTCTTAAATCAGGCAAATCTGGACGCCTCTGAATACCTCAAATCAGATTTTATAGACATCCATATGAATATGCAAATAATATGTTGAACAGGTAACGCCTTGAATCTTCCTTGGAGTATCTCTGCATTCCTTTAGGTTTAGGGAGTTGACATCAGCCCAATGTAAATCACCAGTTTGTTTATTTTCGCACCAACCTTTAAACTTAATGCCGAACCATCCCCACTGCTGCTGCTTTACAATGAAATTCCTTAAAAGGACACAACCTATATCTGCAAAGGATTACCTCAAAAACATACATGTTTCACACAGTGGTACCTTTAAACATACATACGATTTCAGTGGTTAAACAACTCAATGTGTAATAGTCAAACAAATATATAAATTCAATGTTTAACATGCACATGGGATGCACTCAAGAAACTTCACCATTTGGTACAGCCTTCAAAAGTCATGGTGTATTTATATATGAATATATATGAGTTGTAAAAATGCAGATTTTTCCTTTTTAAATGTTTGGATAAGATCGTAGTGTGAATCATTACAGTCAGAACAGAAAGAATTCAGATTTAAAAGTGCAAAATAAGAGTTATTTTGTCCTGTGTCTGCACTGAAACAGAAGGATCATGTTCTATGTAGTTCTACCTAGTACTGTATATTACTGTATATTACTGTATTGTACTGTATATTATTATATTGTACTGTATATTATTATATTGTACTATATATTACTGTATTGTACTGTATATTACTGTATTGTACTATATATTACTGTAGTGCATTTGATGACATTTGACTTCCATCCAAAGTAACAAACAGAGAAGTTGGACAAACATGTTTCAGTTTGTTCCTGTAAAAATCAGCTCTGCATGTGTCAGCTGTAAACAGAACATATCTATTTTTAGAAGAAGTATTGAGTCTTTTCAAGTCACAGGCTTCAAGTCCAAGTCAAGTCCCAAGTCTTAGTCCATTTTATCAAGTCAAGTCTTAAGTCCTAAAAATACTGACTCAAATCTGACTCGAGTCCAAGTCACGACTTGCAAGTCCCCAAATCTGGTAATAAGTGATTTGTATAAATTATCAATGAATCTATTTTATTTGTAGAGTTGCTTTCATGCACACAGACAACTCAAGTGCTTTACACAGAATTAAAATCACAATAATTAGTAAAAAATAAAAGTTCACTTAATGATCAAAATGAGTTCACATATTGTACACATGAGTAATACAAAAGATCACTTCAACACTTCAGTAAGTCACTAAATAAATGAATTCATGCATAGCTTGGACATTTGTTATTTATAGGCAATCTTAAAAATCTTTCATTTTGATGTCAAAATATTAAACCTTGTTTGAAGAATTTTACATTTGAGATTTACAGACACCTGAGGCGTGTTTGGTCTGAACTCGAAGAACCACCAGGAGAACTGTCCCAGCTGATCTGAGGAGCCTCCAAGTTCATGACCAGAGGTGGATGATGTACTCAACTTTGTTACTTAAGTAAAAGTACAGATACAGGGGCAAAAAGTTACTCAAGTACAAGTAAAAGTATCACATGAAAAAATCGGCTTAAGTAAAATTCCTGAAGTACCTCTGTAAAAATGTACTTTAAGAGTAGAAAGTGAAAGTATTTTGCTGACATTTTTAACAATTAAAGCATCAAATGTAGTGATTTTGATAAAGAATTTGTCTGATTTTAAGTTATTCAAGTGATTTCATTTTTTAGCTGTTTTTGTGTATTTGTGTGTTTGGTTTGCTTAAACCTGGGACGTTAACTCAGATTAAATGTGCTAAAAATAAGTCTCAGCCATTTCATCAGATCTCAAAAAACAAAACAAAAAAGAACTTTTTACTTTTCAGTTCAGATCTAAAATGTAGTGTAGAGTAGAAAATACAGATACCTGCTCTCAAATGTAGTGAAGTAAAAGTAAAAAGTACTCAGTGTAAAATGTACTTAAATGGAGATATCAGGTCTGTCACTTTCAGTGTTGGGAAAGATACTTTTAAAATGTATTCCCCTACAGATTACAGATTACATCCCCCAAAATGTAGTTTGTAACGTAAAGTGAGTAATGTAATCTGAATACTTTGGATTACCTGATTTGCTGTAGAGAAGCAAAGACGAGGATATTGTAACATAAAATGTTTTGTTTGCTAAAAGAAAATGAAAAGCCCAGATTTCACTGAACCAAATAAAAAATATTCTTAATAGAAGAGGAGGAGACGCGTTCACGCAACATGATTTAGCCCTGTTAAATCCTGATTTTGACCTGGTTTAGTCCTGGTTTAGTCCTAGTTTAGACCTGATTTTAGACCCGGTTTAGACCTGGTTTAGTTTCCAGCAATGAGTGGAATTACTGGGGAAAAAAAAAAAAGGGATATAGCCCGAAATGTGAAAACAGGAAAATCCCGCCATGTAATCCATTTATTTCAACAAAGTAACTGTAATTCAATTACAGTTGAATTACAGTTACTGAAACAGTAACTGTAACTGAATACAGTTACTCATAATTTGTACTCTGATTACATAATGCCGGTACATGTAATCTGTTACTCCCCGACACTGGTCACTTTTGACCTTGTTTAGAGATTTATGGACCAGTTAAAGAACTGATCGGTTGGGCACTATGGCGTCTTTTTTTGAGTTTTCGTGACCGCCCTAGCAGCAGTATTTTGTATCACTTGTAGCTTCTTTGTGAGACGAGTGAACAGAGCGTTACAATGACTGTTAAATACTTATATACAAGTACTACTCGATACTGCAGTAGTTCTGATTTAAAAACTTTCCAAACCTATTCAGGCAAGACTCAGTTTTGTCAGTTTTTGTCTGTTTATGAACTTTTATCATTTTTTGTTCAAAGCAATTTGTATCTGGATGTTGATTTTTTTTGGCAAGTATTTTTCAAAAAACATTTTTTCAATAAAACAATACAAATCATTCAGATTTGAAATTACAAAAAATTTATTGCATATTTCATTTGTCAATTTGTCCAATCCCAGCCGCTGGTCTTAGTTTACAAAATACATGTTTAAAAAAGTTTAAAAAGTACAAATCCATTGTAGAAAGTCATTCATGATTCAGATTTAAAAATAAATTCCATACAATTTCATACAATATTTTGGTCTCTTAAACAAAGCACCTGAACAATAAGACATTAAAAACATGTTTCTAAAAATGTTAAACTAGAAATTGAGGCACTGGTCCAGTCAAAAGTTCAGTTGACTGAATATTTTGTTCTTCAAATTACATAAACTTTTAATCATAAATCTCATGTTACTCTTTAAGTTATTCTTTGGTTTTAGCTTTATGTATTTTAACACTTTTTATATATTGTTTTTATTCCTGATTGACTGTCTTTTATTTTATTCATTTGTCTGTGCAGCACTTTGGAAACTGTTTATAAAATATGCTATAAAAATAAAGTGGATTCTTATTTGAATAGTGGTTTTCCCAAATGTAATTTCTTGAACCACTACATTGTACTTCTGCTTGAGTAATATTATTTTGATATATATACTCTCTCTTGCATCTTCCAGAGCAGACAGGAGCTGACAGGTGCTGACAGGAGCAGGTCTAGCCCTCTCTCTCCTCCAGATCCTTGATCAGATATATTTCATGCGCCCTGAGTGCAGACAGGAACACGTCTTTGCTGCGTTCTCCTCCAGATGTCAGAGGTCCTTGGTACAAAAACCTCATCTGCTCCTGTCTGGTTCTGATGCTTCTGATCTCGGTGTACTGCTCAGGGGTCAGGACTCTCTCTTGTAGGAGCAGGTCCAGAACAGGGTTGATGTTGCTCACTCGCTCGGTCAGCTGAATGCGATGTCTGTCCACAAAGTGTTCATCTGAGGAGAGACAGAGACAGAGAGACGGAGAGAGAAATGGTTAAAACATGGACTGCAGCAGCTTCCATCACCGCCACACCCTCTGGAACTCACTACCTCAGCAAATCTGCGACTGTACTCAACTAACTCCTCAAGGCCATTTATTTAGAACCACTATTAAAGGTCCCATCTCATGCAGAATAACTCTTTTCACATTGTATCTTCTGCACATAAACAAGCACAATTTGGTTTTTGGAACATCCATTACACAATAGTTCTGAAATCTTATTGATTTCTTGGAGACAGTCACAGACCAGGAACTATGAAGGTCCGACTATTGCTCCTCCCCCCGCCCGTCCTGAGAAAGCACAGGCTCCGCCCTCCAAACGTGACGTAGGCGACGAGTGAGACGCCCTTCCTCCACCCATCTCAGGGAGGGAGGGGGAGATCTTAATCGATCGTCGGGAGAATTAACGATCGATTATCGATTAATCATTAACGTTTTGATATAAAAAATATCATCATTATTATTACTATCTGCACTACTAATCTACATAAATAAATTCAACTTTACGACATATAAACCGTAAGGACTCTAGAGCCACATCAGCCCGTTTGACATTATAATGTGTTTAATGCAGCTTTGTGCAAGTCTCACAGAAAGAAAACTTAAAACGGCAGGGCTCATTTACATAAACTAAGCGAAGAAAAAAAAAACAGCTCTTGTGTCGCTGATGTGGTCCATTTCTGTCGGATTAAAAGACATGACTCAGGTGAATACAGGTTAGTGTGACGAGATTTGCGTTTGTCAAAATCAGGACATCGTACGGGGGTTGGGGGGTGGGGCCTTGTCATCGACACTGAGCGACTCTCACCTGGCAAAGCGTTTTCATGTTTTCAGTGTCCTGGTGAACTTTTTCCCACTGGACACTGAAACATATGTGCTGCTTTGTACACTGTGCACATGGACTCACACTTGTCCCGACTGGAATGGAAAGTGTGGAATTTCTTGTACAAGTCATCGTTAAATTTGCATTTGTGCTTCAGCACGTTACAGACTGACCGACTGTTTGTGTCTCGCTCCTTCTGATGCAGAGACACATGTACGGACCTGTTTGGTCACACTACACACAGAAACCTACATTCGGTTTGTCAATTAAAAATGACCATAATCAATGAAATTTGTAATGATCAATTATGGATTAATCGAGGAATTTTATTAATTGAGGAATAAACTTTTATTCATCGTGGAGATACAGCGCGTTCAGCCGCATGTGCCTGCCCAGAATCAGACGAGGACTTTGAGGAGAACGAAGCTCAAGCACCACGTCCACATCAGCTGAACATTACTGATTGGTAACGTTTTAATAAACACTAGTAGATAAACTTATATCGTGTTCACTGCAGTGTAGAACAATGAGCTTATGCTGTCGCTTTTGTTTAGATGTTTATGTGGGAATTGTCAGACGATGTGGGGTGGAGATGGGGTGGAGGTGGGGTGGAGGCGGTGGAGCAGGGGGAGGGGAGCGGGTGTGAAGCTCTTTCTGCTACGTCAAACACGTCATAGGTGTATCTGCCGCATCATCGTCATCATCAGCTTTAGTTCATTGTCACGTGGGAGGGTGGCAGAAATACACTGCAATTTGTTTAAAAAAGGCCGAATCAATCTAAAAACCACTTCAGTGACAAATACAAGACCCACACATCACTCTCAGAAGGTAGAAAACTCTGAAAAGTTAATTTTCCATGAGATGGGCCCTTTAATGTTTAACCTGCTTTTATAACATGTATAATATGTCTATACTTTGTCCGATAACCAGGCTTTTGTACTCTCTGTAACTGTTTTCATTCTGCAGTTGTTTAGAAAAGTGTTATCTTAATAAAATGTATTATTATTATTATCATTATTATCATTATTATTATTATTAAGGAGGATGGCCACAGAATGATTAGGTATCTATTAGGAGTGCAACGATATCCAAGCCTCACGATACGATATCGTCATGGTACGATATTTATTGTGATATCGTGGGAAAGCTCACAATACGATGGGGAGGCTCACGATTATGGATGTAACAATAACCAAATCTCTCTGTACGATATTTTCACAATATACATCTCACTATACGATGTTTATTGTGGTATTTTGTGGAGGTGAATAAAACTGTGAATATGCGACTTTTTCCTCTTAAAATGCCTTGACAAGACTTAATCCAAAGAACTAAGACTTAAAAGTGTTAGAACTCTTATTTCTTCTTGTAGTCTGCACTGAAATGGAGCAAAGGATCATGGTCTATGTAGTTCCCTCTGTCTTTTTTAACTACTGCTGCACCATAACTCTTCATTTAAGCAAAGAGACTTGTAATTCGATATATTGTGATGTTCCACGATATTATTGTGAGAACTTTGATGATACAATATTACGGTATTTCAGTTATTGTTACATCCCTAGTAGCTCTAGAATTGAATGATCTTCAGTAGCTTCTGTTGTGGCTCTGTGTGTGTGTCTGAAATACATTTACCTCTGGCAGGTGCAGCAGACGCTCCAGGGGCTGAAACACATGAAGAACATTTATTATATTTACAACAATATGATTCTGATGTGGAAATGACGTCCTAGTTCACAGATCGCAGCGTCACTCTATATGTTTTTACTTAGACACGTGTAGTGGAGGTACTTTTATTACTACAACTGTTATTAGGAAAACTGGGGACTGTAGTTTTAGGGATGCACTGATTCATCTTCTCCAGTTCATTGACCAGTAATACTACAAGACCTGATATGAACCGATACCAGTGTAGGGATCACACATATTTTCTTATAACACAGTTAACCTGTTACACCTGAAATCCTTTTGTGTTATGAGACTGTTTTTTATTCTACATCAGTATCAGTGTATATGGTTATATTCAGGGCCGTGGTGGGTTTCTCCTGTGTGTTAGATCAGGTGATGTTACAGTAAAAGTACTTGGAGAAAACTCACCCGGAGCTGGAGGGTTTTGCCTCGTCTGTGCAGGTTGCAGCAGTTTGTTTGCCTCTTCAGCTGAAAAAGGAGAACAAAAAGGAGAAAAAAGTGTGGTTTAATGACACATAGTCATCTAATGTTAAAGTCAGGATTTGTTTTTTCTTGTTGACCCTAAGTTCAGAATTCAATACAAAAAATATGATTTATATATCATGTAAAGCACTACATTTGAGTCGATGTGCTTACTTTACTTAATTTATAAAAATTCATTACTTAAATTAATATCCTATTATTTTAAAGAGTGAGAACTTTGAACATCAATTTCTTGAGACGGATGCGTTAGAGGAGAGGGAGCAGCCCAAGAACATAGAGAAAAATCCTATATTTATTTAATAAATCTCACATTTTGCAAGTAAGACGGTGTGCAGGATTTTTCTCAATATTCTGTCCTTTGAAAAAGTATGAATTTCAAGTGGGATTAACCAGTCTCACCAATGGTAAAAGATTTAACTTTAAAAAGAAATCAGGAAAGTCTGAGCCGCCAAACCAGAACTGAACGAGGACTGCGCCTTTGTTCACATTAGGACACACTAGGGTTAAAATGGCAGCAACAGCACGAACTCGAAAGTGAAAGTAAATACAGCCTGTCTGGAGAGACGTCCCACGCGTAAAAGCGCTCACCCAGTTCCTCTGCTACCCTGGTACAGCCGATGGCCCGGAGCAGCTCCACCGTCACCTGCACGGCCCTGTTCTCACAGAACGTCTCCACCAGGAGGTCTGCCAACTGCAGGGGGTTCTTCCCGTCCACCTGGGCTCGTCTGACGCGCGGTCCGTCGCTCTTCCTCTCCCGCAGCCACAGACGGAATTTGGCGAGGTCATCCTGACTCAGGTCTTCGAGCGCACCAGCGATGACAGTTTTAGTCGTCATGTCTCAGGACGAGCGAGCAGATTTAATAAAGTCTATGGTTCTTCCGTAATATTTTGCAGTCAGGCTCCGCCCACGGCACCGCCTACATGGCCCCGCGAAAACTGAATCTGTGTGTGCGCCGCAGAGACCGTGGAGTGCGTAAACAACAGACCCAAGTATCCCCTGAAACTCGTCAGGAAACAGAGAATGTCTCAACACGACATCAACACGCAGATTTTGGATATACTGAACGACTTGGAGGACAATAACTTTGAGAAATTCTGCTTTTTGCTCCGGGACCGCCGTGAGAAGCCGCGGATCAGACTCGGAGAGGTGGAGAACAAATCCCGCGTACAGATCACCAAGCTCCTGGTGTCCCGGTGCACAGAGGAAGGAGCTGTGCTTAAAACCATCAATACTCTGGAGAACATCGGCTGCAACGAGGAGGCGCAGGAACTAAGTGAGCCGTGGTTATATTAAAAAACATTAGAAAAGTACTTAACGTGATTCTCTGCATTAGAAGTCTGCGTAAACAACGTGCATGCGTCAAAGCAACGACGTAAAAGTGTGCATTGATTAAGAAAGAATATTTAACACAGTTATGCATCCTCTTTTGTTATTACAGTTGTATCAATGCTGGCTGTTCATTCTTCAACTATAATCCCATTTTATCAGTACAGCAGCCATCCCTATGGCAACTACATGTTCACACAAGTAGTAGTAGTCACAGCAGTAATAATGCAGTATTAAGTCACTTCTGTAGCCACTGTTACCTGGGGCATTTTGACCACAATGATTCAGGCCTGGTTCATTTGTCAGTGTATTGTCAAGACCAAACCTCCAGCCTCACAGATCCAAAGGTCCACCAGCAGTGATCAAGAAGCCTTTATTTCAGTTCAATTCTACTGTATTTTGTACTTTTTGTACTTTGTAAAAGTGCAAAAGAAAAAAAAAAACTATTTATGGAAGAAAAAGTGCTACAAATCAATGTATTTATATAAATACAGATTAATTTATGTTTAATTTGCCCAAAAATGACCATCTCTTCAGCGTCCTCACTCACCCTTTCCACTGTTGTCCCACAGAACTCCTCATAATCAAAATAAAAGTAATAAAGTAAAGAAATAAAACTAATACACATTTTGGTGGATTAAGACTCCATCAACCGATTAATCGACTAAACAAAAGGACTACAGCACTAATGTGTATAAAGCAAGTTATTACAAGGGCGTAACAAACACGTGACTGTAGGAGATAAGGTGACGTGTGTTCAGTGTCGGGAACTGAATACATGTACTGAAAATACATATTCAGAATATAAATACTACTGTACTGTACTGTGGTGCAGTTACTCTTTCATCTGGTGGTGTTCAGAATAGTTACTTTGCTTAATTAAAAAGAATACATAGTTGTACTTCTGTAATTTTAACTTTAAACTGCACAGTATTAATGAGATGAATTCATGATTAATGAGAACAGCTCTTGCAGTGTGTGATTTATTCCTCTAAATTAAAGCTTAACAACAACAACAAAAGTAAAGCTTTTTTAGAATTCCATGTCATGTTTTTTCACTATAATATAATGTAAAAGTATTGAGTATAATGTATTTAAAATGCAGTACTCTGATTGGCCCATGTATGACAAAACATTATATAATACATTTGAAGGCAGGTTTTGAGTAACTCAATCTACTTTTGTCTTCTCCTCACGGTTTGATTTGGTTTGTTACAGAACAGTGGAACAAAGCTCGTCTAGAGGTAAGTTTATAACAACATGTTTCATTTGTGTAAATACCTTTATTGACTGTTTGATGTTATGTTTGTGTCAGAAGCTCCGCCCCTCTCTGCAGCCCAGCGCAGAGGCTCAGGCTGTGGTGGCTGCCCGCAAACCCCTGGAGAAGATGACTCCAGAGCCTCAGCTGGACTATCCCAGAGACGAGCTTCTGCCACTGGGCCGCTCCGTCCTCGTGTTCGGCCAGTACAGAGGCCAGAGCTTTGAGTGGCTCCTGCTGAACGATGTGGGCTACGCTGTGTACGTGGTCGCTACGCACCAGGAAGAGAGAGAGACGAGCGGAAAGCAGAGCCATGACTCGTGGCACATGAAAAACAAGGTACACTGAAAAAAGGACAGGAATGAGCTGACATGAATTCACTTCACAATCTCTGAGTCATTTCAGTTTTCAGCACATTTCTTTTCTTATCTGTGGAGTTTTGACTTGTCATGGGCTGCTGGCCACATTCGCTCACAGGGCAGGTGTGGCCATTTCTCCTCCTGTTCTGTCTCTATGAGGTTTTTGCCGAGTTGCGGTAAAATCACTAAATTCTGACAGATCAGGCAGTGGACAGGAAGCTGCAGGTGGATGTCAATGACAACAAGTTATAAACTTTACAGATGCAGGGAGAACTTCACCAGAGGACACTTCTGCTCTCACAGTGGTAATTTGAGTCTCATTGCTAATGCTCACTTTTATTCAAATGTTAAATCTCCCATAACAACATTTGTAGTCGTAGTAAAGTTTAGAAACAATTATTTGTAAATTATTTCAGTTTGTGGGGTTATTTAATTATTTATTAGGTCCCAAGATATACTTTTCTAAAAGCTGAAGTATCCTCCGGTGACGTTTTCTCCTCATTTGTAAACTGTTTACTTGTTGTCAGTGACATTCACCTGCAGCTCACTGTCCACTCACTGTCCACTCAGTGTCCACTCACCACTGTCCCCTCACTGTCCATTCACTGTCCACTCACCACTGTCCCCTCACTGTCCGCTGTGTGACTTGGCAACAACCTCATAGAGATTGAATGGCAGTGAAAATGCCCACACCAACTCTCTGACCGGAAGAAGCCAGCTGTACACAGAGACGATTTCATTACTCCTTTATTACTAGAAAAGTATGTATAATATTATTAAGGGATTGGACACGTCTTATCCCCTTAGTAACTTAAACCTTGATTTTCCATTTGGAAATTTAAAAATGATTGAGCTTCTTAAAATGAAAACAGCGTAATGATAATAGGTGACAGATTTGAGGTCTAGTTGCTGGAGGTGAGGAAGAGGAGTACACTGTTGTGTTTTTAAACACACATCAGTTAAAATATTACAAATGTGTGTTCTTTGTCAGGACGCTCTGGCAGAGTATGTGAGCTCTTTCCCAGAGATTGTGGAAGAAGTGCACTTTCATCGTGAAGGCCTGGCTCCTCTTGGATTTGGAAAATTTAAAAAATCAACTCGCAAGGATTTGTACAACTCCAATGATGAGGATAAGAAGAGGTAAGAGACCCATTCATGGCAAACTCAATAAAAAAAGATAATCCAGAATGAAGTGAACTGTCAAGTACTTGGAAAAATCAGGTGCCACAGTGGGGCACCAGTGGCAAAACCTGCCATTGTGCCCTTAGGCAAGACACTTCACCTTGCCTAGTATGAAACTGATGTGTGTGAGTGTTGACAGTAGTTGGAGGGAAGCCTCACTTCTGTCAGTCTGCCCCAGACTTGATTATGATGATGATGATGATGATGATGATGATTATTATTATTATTATTATTAGTATTAGGGCCCGGTCAAGCAGAAGAAAACAACAAGGCCAAAAATTCAAGTTAATGCATCTGATATAAAAATGTATTGAACAGATACATATGTCCTCTAGTTTATGAAACTGTTGACCTTTTTTCTGGACCATTTTTGGTTCTAAAGTTCCATCCGTTTTAAACAGACCATGTATGAAACATGGAATAAAAATGATTTCCCAAATTTCAAAGACCTGAAAATCATGTCAATAAATGGATGTATTTCATCATATCTTGTGTTATTCCATCTTTGAACTGTTGATGAAGGAACATGATTTTTTAAATCTATTTAAAATGATCAAAATTTGCTTGGAAGGACTGACATATTTTATAGAAATAGTTTCCTTTCATTTTGAAGTAATATTAAAGTATTTGGAAGAAAAAAGCGACAAATTTTGTAAAAATCATGCACCTTCTACTTGCTTGAACAATTTTCCCTCCGTTACTTTTACCATGACCTTTCTTAATAAAAAATCTCATGAGTCAAAAAGTAAGAGGTTTTTCAACCTAATCTTGTACCATATGGTAGAAAACTATATGAAGCAAATATTCAAACCAGTTTGTTAAGGATATGGAAGTGAGAACCAAGAGTTATCACTGTTTGGATTTATTGCCCAAAAAGTGCTGCATATTTCATTCCCTCCGTTACCGACATGAGTTTTTAAATGTTTTGTCAACAACTTGAAAGAATATCACAGGTTTAACTTTCCCCTGTTGGAGTGTAACTCTTTCCTACATTCTGATACTTTACTTATTTCAATAGTCCCTCTAGTTTCTGAATAAGAGACATTTGAATGTCAAAAATCTGCCCCTGTTTCCCTCCGTTACCACTTGACCCATTAATATTAATATTAGTATTAATATTAGTATTAGTATTATTATGCATAGTCCTGACCCACACACTAAGCAAGATTTCTGATGCAGTTGTTAGTAGTCAAAATCTGATAGGCATTAGTCCATTAATTATAAATAATAATTAGGGGGCCTAAATGAAATTTTTAGGCTAATTGTTTTGTAACAGGTAAATTTAAAGGTCTGAGGTCACACCAGGACATTTTTGAACAAAATAGAAGTAATTTCCTTTAACTAATGCTTTTCTTACATAGTTTATTTCTGTCTATCATCATACATGATGATTACAGGCTGCTTCTCTTAAATGGGGAATTAGATTTTATTCGAACACTTGTGGCACAGTTGGGGTTAACCTCTATTTTACACTGGGTCACTGTACTTTGGACACATGTGGGACTATGTATGTTCAAACATGAGTGCTGTTGTGCTATTGTTTTGTGCAGAGCGCAGTGGTGACACATGAGTATCTGCGCTGCTCTTGTGTGTGGTGGATGTATTGGCTCATTCACACAAGCATTTAAAGCCAAGGAGCCGATAGTTAGCACAGAATGAATGTTATTTTTTCGGTGATGGTATGTAGGCTACCAAATCTTTTCGGTTGGTTCCTGCTTGGAACTAGAAGTCTGCGCGGGACAGAATTTTGAGTCCCGCTCCCGCACTGTAGAGTCCTGTGCCCGCCCGCTCCCGCAAAGAATTGTAATTTTCAGTCCCGCTCCTGCCCGCATCTGCAATATTTTGTCCCGCACCCACCCGCAAGTCCCGCAGGATGGGAACCTTTGCTTTCTTAAACTCTATCAAACATGGAGAAGTGAAAGAAATTAGGCTACGTATGAGAGGAGGCGCGGTGGGCGATCTGGCGGCATGGTTAAGTCCTGGCTAAATCCTGTTTTAGTCCTGGTTTTAGAGCTGTTTTTAGACCTGGTTTAGTCCTGATTTAGTTCTGGTTGAGTTCTGGTTTTGTTGCACAGGCAGCTCGACATACGGAAGGAAGGACTGTCCACGTGGCGTAAGGGACGCGGGGGGACTGTTGGCGCGGCGCACGGGAAGGGGGACGGGTCTGCTGCTTAAAATGTTTTTATTAATGCCAAATAAAATCTCCAGCACAAATTCTGCATGATATGCTTACATTCATCTTTTTTATATTTTACTTTATACTCATATTTAGTTTGCGGGACTACAGTTTATCATCCCTCCCGCCCACTCCCGCCCGCTCCCGCGTTGTTTAGCCCCACTCCCGCCCGCGCCCGCAGCCAGCTTTTAAAATGTGTCCCGCGTCGCAGTATGCAGCCCTAATGTTACTTGTGTCCAAACAGTAGTGGTTCTGTGTGGAGCCCCAACCCTCTGTTGTGCCCTGTCCCCTGAACTGCAGCAGACTGAGCACACTCTGAACTGCAGCCTCACACTGCACTGTGGACAGAGTTCAGATGAGGTAGTTCAAACCCTAAAACATTTGTTCAAACTAGGGATGGGCATTTGATGAAATTAATGGAGAATTAACAATCGATTTTTGATTAATCATTAATGTTTTTATATAATAAGCATCATCATTATTATGACTACTGCATAAATAAACTCAACTTTACAACATATAAACCATAAAGACTCTAGAGCCACATCAGCCACATTTGACATTAGAATGTGTTTAAGCAGCTTTGCACAAGTCTCACAGAAACGAAACTTAGAACTGCATGGCTCATTTGCATAAACTAAGCAGAGAAAAAAAAAACAAAAAAACGCTCTTGTGCGCTGATGCGGTTCAGCTTCTGTTTGACTAAAGGACATGACTCAGTGGAATATGAGTGTTCTTTCTGTGACAGAGGGATGTTGATGCTGGAGGTGAGTCTGTTCTGTGTCGCAATATTTTCAGAGATCGTGTGCAGGTTTCGCACAGCTCTTTATGTTGCAGTAACCGGGATACTGCGTAAACATGCACCATGATGAAACCGGGATACAGATGTGCATGTAAACACACTCACTGAGAGGTACAGTGTCTCCAAGGAGGTGTCAGATCCCAAACGTGGGACTGAGGCTGCAACTCCAGTGTTTGTGTCAGACGCAGCTTCATATCTACACACAGAAACCTACATTTGGTTTGTTGATTAGAAATGAACGTAATCGACGAAATTCTTAATGATCAATTATTGATTAGTCGACTAATCGTGCCCATCCCTAGTTCAAACTCCTGATCACCTCTTATTCATGCCGCTGAATAGGAGGTGGATTGACCAAACACTTTTAGACTCTAAACTGTTTCCAGACTCTTTGATTTGGTGCTGTACTGTTAACGGGGCAGCGGCTGGTGCATTTGTCTATACTGCCTATGCCACATGCAGAGGCAGTATAGACAAATGCTATTCTGAGTCTGCAGGTCAATATGTCTAATTTAGCTATAATTAGACATATTCACCTGGTAACAAATTATGTTGGCCAAACAATTCCCCTGGAGAAGCTAGAGGAAGTGTCTAGGGAGAGGGAAGTCTGACAGTCTCTGCTTACACTGATGCCTCTGTGACCCAGCCCTGAATAATCACAAGACAGTGGTTTGATGGATGTGCCAGACTTTGGATGATTTATTCCTGCTTTTATTTCTTGTAGAAACTGTAAAAAAAAAACATGATTCTGTTGTTTAGATATATGAAGTATCTCCGAGGAAAGGCAGAAAATTATACAAAAGGATCTCAAATGGAGGCAATGATAAAGTACATCCTGCACCGCGATAAACACGACCAGGGCACCTCCCACCACCTGGGCACCTCCCACCAACCGGGCACCTCCCACCAACCAGGCACCTCCCACCAACCGGATACTTCCAGACAAATCAAACGACCAATGAGAAGCTACAACAGGAATAAATTCTTCAGAGGGAAAAGGTGAGAGGAGTCGCTGTGTTTTTTATTCTCACCATTTTCAATCTTGAGTCGTGGACTGTGTTGGAGGTCGTCCAGATTTTTAAAAACTCTGATCATTACTTACTTACTGCAATAACTTTTTTGATATTTACAGAAGCCCTGAGAGGCAAGAGGGGAAAAAAAAGAGGCAGGTCATTTGGACCCTATTTTCTAAGTGTTTTTTTTTTTTTTTTTTTTTTTCACCAACTCAAAATTTTTGAGCAGGTGTATTTTGAACCCCAGTCTCCCACATCCTAACCAAGCACCTAACACCATGAGCTAATCTACCAATTGTTCACCAGCACTTAGGTTTGGTATTTACAGGAATATACTGGAAAAACACTTGTGTTTTTTTGTTTGTTTTTTTCACTGTTGATGTGGCTGATGAAGGAAAAAAAAAAAAGCGGAAAAAATTTGAATTTTTTTTTTTTTTTGTAGATTTTATTATTAAAAAAAAAAAACAAAAAAACACACACACGCACGCACACACACACACACACACACACTTAGAAAATAGAGCCCAAATGACCTGCCTCTTTTTTTTTTCTCTTGCCTCTCAGGGCTTCCGTAGGTATTTCACTTAATTATCACACTTAAAAAAATGATGTGAAATACAACACCATTAGAATAAATCATCTTCAGGCGCTGTACCTGACTTTGACTGTCAAAACACTAGAAGTAGTTCATTAGTTCATCTGTTTGCAGTGGCCCAGAGTTCTTCCTCACTGAGTTTATACACACTGGTCACAGAGCAGACTGGAGTGGAGCTTTACCTTCATAAAGCTGATAATAACAAGCATGCTAACATGTACTTCCTGATGATCAGATAATAACATGTTTTGTGCTTAGGTGCAGATGGGACAAAGCAGACTAATGATTTTGGTTTTAATGATATTAATGTATTATTTCTTAATTTTCCCTTTTTCTTTTTCCAGATTCAAGTCAGAAGCCTCTAAACAAAGACGCCAAAGATACAGATAGGCCACCAAAGAGCCACCGGAGGATCCTCATCGTTTTTATGTCAAATGTATGAAAACAGGAAATTATTGATTGATTTAAAGTTTTACTAATCATACACAAATGTGGGTGAAGCAGCAACAACTGAACCACAAATTTTTATATTATTAAATTCTTAGTATATATATTATAGATTTTAAATCTTTCTAAACCCATTATGTAATGTACATGTGCAGATCATGATTAAAGAGGGCGTATTGTGCAAACACTTTTTTTTTTCTTTCTACCCTGTTATAACTTTACCTCATCAAAATCATGTCTGAGGAGGTTTTAGATATTATCCAAGCATCGCTCTTCTTACGGTTAGCTGTAAGATTCTGTGCCCACTGTTCCCACATGACAATTCTCCATAAAGATACAACAACATGATACAAAACTGTACACAACAACAACATGATACAAAACTCTACACAACAACAACATGATACAAAACTCTACACAACAACAACATGATACAAAACTCTACACAACAACAACATGATACAAAACTGTACACAACAACAACATGATACAAAACTCACACAACAACAACATGATACAAAACTATACACAACAAACCTGATGTGATGTGCAGTAGTTTCATTAGCAGGATGCATGCTGATTGTGTTGTGATAGTGCTCTGAAGGGGGAGTGACTTAACACGGGGAGCCAGGACAGGGCAGACTCAGACCAAGTGAAACTGATAAAACATGTTAATACTTTGTTTTTTGTGAATATACCATTATCAAGACAATAAAATGTAACATGGTGTCATATGTTCTGTGGTATCAGGTCATATAAAACACGCCTCTTTAACAGTGCTCAGAAATATGTCACTTTTTTGTCTGCCCCCAGCTCCATGCAGATGCTATTGCTTTGTCTGAAATGTCCCATAGACTATGTATCTATCTCCATGGAGACAGTACAATAATAATAATAATAATGCCTTACACTTGTAAAGCATTTTTGAGGCTTGTCGAAGCCCCTCCAAGCTCCACACTGTACACTCACTCCACTCACACACATGGTCAGATACAACTGAAGAGAGGCTGCCAATCTGTGCCATCAGCCCCTTCAACCACCACACACACACACACAGACACTCACAGACACACACACACACACAGACACTCACAGACACACACACACCATTTTCATTTATTACCTGGTCTCTGAAGGGTTGACCAGGTTTTGCACTCACCCTGTGTGTGTGTCTGTCCACCTGCGATTATTCCGCCATTTATGGACCGATTATCACCAAATTTGGTACGTGGGTCAAGCCCTTGTGCTCATTGCCGCAAAAAAAGTTTGGTCACAAGCTAAGGTCATTTGATGTCACACGGGTCAATTGAAATGTCACGCCATTATAAAGGCAATTTCTGCAATTTCTGAACCATCTGCGGACTAAAATATTCACCCAATCATCACACATAACCGAGGTACACTGGATGTTACAGGTTGAAACCGGTCAAGGTCACTTGAAGGTCAAGGTAACCAAGGTCAAATATGTGTAAGGATGGAGCTCGAGCAACGGGAGTGTCTCAAAATCTCAGAAAAATTATTATCTATTTATAATTCTATGCATTTGTAGAATAAAATATTAATAGTTTTCGAGATAATCACTAATTCTTACAGTTCCTTTCTCTTTCATTTTAAAATTCTAACTGGAACTGGTGACACACAACACACTGATCTACAGTCACACAACTAACATACACACAACTCATGAAAAATGACATTTTGGTTCCACACTAGTAAACACAGACATTCTCATGTGTGACCAACATCACACTAATGTTCATGATCCTGTACACATACACACATTGTATTGTGGATATAATGATCATGTGATATGGGCTGGACTCCTCATAATCTGCTTCTGTGCTGATGATCTGACCACCGACGCCTCATGGGACCAGGCTGATATCTCTGATTGCACTTGTTTTATTTATTTATTTGATTGGGACCGAGCGTGTTAATGAACAAACATGACACAACATGAACAGGAAAAGTGCGTTTGGACAACTCTCTCTTGCTTATCGAGCAAGTCAGACATGGAATACAGTGCCTGCTCATGTATGAGAACTTTCAACACTGGCAGCATTTTCTAAAGCTTTACAACAGTGGTTACTCAATGGTCAAATATGTCTCCATGTTTAACCAATTTACATTTTCTTTTATATTGAGGGGTTCTTGGTTTAACTCTTAAACTCTTGACTTTGAACTTCAAATGAACTGTTTGAAACTAACTGTATGTATAGTGAGTGTGTTGTGTGTACAGTGAGTGTGCTGGTGTTGTGTACTTTTGTGTGATTGTTGCTGTACTTTTCCTTTGTCCTGTAGATGATTTTACATCAACCTGTCGAGGGACTGAAGATGGAAATTAGCCACGTTGGCTATAATCTTTACATATTTACATTTTTAATGTTCATTAATATGTGCTGTACCTTTACAAATAAATTAAATAAGAAGAAATAAGAATGTAAATACACCAGATTGTAGCTTAACGCTCATTTCCGTCTGTGGTCCCAAGGGGCTGGGCTCACAGGGGGCCAAACTAGACAGGATGCAGTTACAGAACTTGGTTGGGGGCCCACTGCTCTAACCACTGAGCCACTGTTGCCCCAGAGCTGATACCACCACACCAAGTTACAAGATCTGCAACCCCACATCTTGTAACGTGTGTAATTGTACAAACGCAAGACATGTTTGTGGAACATTCCAAGCCGAACTGTAACATCTCCGGAGACAAGCAGGTGCAGAAAAGTTACATAGTGCACCTTTAAATTAGAATAGTAAATAATTATGTGTTTTAATTTATGATGATTATATTTTTAGCAGCTGTGGGGTTGGTAATATATTTGCTCAGTGTATATTTTTAAATAAAATGTCCAATCCAGGTTTTATTTGGTGTGTTTCCATTTGCTGTTGTGTGTTTCTGTGTCTCCTGACCACACCGGGCCAGTAGATGCTCTTTATTCTGTCATGGTGAACATTTTATAATTCCCACAGCATCTGCTCACCTGACTGTGATGCTTCCTGCGTTGGTGTGGAGTGTTCAGAGAAGAATCCAAAAACAAGCTCTGATAGTTTAGTATTATTTATTACAAAAACAAAGTAAAATATCTTAATTACAGACACAGGTTCAGGCGAGCTCTGGCCAATATGAGACACACCTCTAAATCAGATATTCTCAGATTTAATAGTTTCTATAAGCAACCTGATCACTTATTGTCCAAGGTTTTAAGGTTTTCCAGATATTACTTATTATATGCAGTGTTGGGGAGTACAGATTACATGTACCGGAGTTACGTAATCAGAGTACAAATTATGAGTAACTGTATTCAGTTACAATTACTGTTTTAATGAGTGGTAATTGGATTACAGTTACTTTGTTGAAATAAATGGATTACACAGAGGGATTTTCCTGTTTTCACATTTCGGGCTATATCCCTTTTCTTTCTTTTTTTCAGATCCTAACCAGGACTAAAACAGGTCTAAACCAGGACTAAAACAGGTCTAAACCAGGACTAAAACAGGTTTAAAACCAGGTCTAAAACCAGGACTAAACCAGGTCTAAAACCAGGTCTAAACCAGGACTAAACCAAGACTAAAACAGGTCTAAACCAGGTCTAAAACCAGGTTTAAACCCAGATCTAAAACCAGGTCTAAACCAGGTCTAAATCAGGATTTAACAGGACTAAACCATGTTTCGTGGACGTGTCTCCTCTTCTTCTATGAGTAATATTTTTTAATATTTGGTTCAGTAAAATCTGGTCTTTTTTTATTTTCTTTTAACAGACAAAATATTTTATGTTATGATTTCCTCGTCTTTGCTTCTCTGCAGCAAATCAAGTAATCCAAAGTATTCAGATTACGTTACTCACTTTAAGTAATTTAATGGATTCCGTTACAAACTACATTTTGGGGTATGTAATCTGTAGGGGATTACATTTTAAAAGTCACCTTCCCAACACTGACTATATGTTTATCTTACAGTTGTTGGGATATGGACCCCCTGGACTTAACTCCTCCACCTGTAAAGACCTTCTGGGGGCTATGAAGCTCACAGACCTCAAATGGAGAATATCAGACGCCACAGTTCTTTTCTTTTACTTGACTTTTTGTTGTCCCCCTGCGTCCCTCTTTCACACTATTGCACTTGGCCTCACCAGCTGTAAACGCCTCCGCACTCCACCGCTTAGTCCCTCCCACAGACCACACTTCCTCCCTCTCTTCCTCCTTTCTCTTTCTCACAGGCCACTGCGCGCTTGGTGCCGTGCCGCGGGAAAAACAAACCAACGACAGGAGCTCAGAGAACTAGACATCCGCGCAGAAGTGCAGAAAAGCGTGCGTCATGGCTCTTAAAAGCGTAAAAACAGAAATCCTTCGTACTCTCAGGGAACTGGAGGACGACGATTTCGACACGTTCTGTTTTCATTTACACGCCATCTCTGTGGAGCCGCGCATCGGAGTCGGAGAAGTGGCGAAGAAGAACCGCGAGCAGATCACGAAACTGCTCGTGTCCAGGTGCACGGAGGCTGGAGCTCTGCGCAGGACCGTCGACACTCTGCGGGAGATCGGCTGCAACAACGAGGCTCTGGAACTGGGTGAGGATGGGTGCATTAAAGGTGCATTAAAGGTGCATTAAAGGTGCATTGCGTTGAAAAATCACGGACGCTGTTTTAGCTCAACAACGTAGTTTGGTCGGTGCGCCATTTTGGAGACGCAGATGCAGCTGGAATGACCCGAGTTCGGTTTATAGTAGGTCGTTCTAGTTTTTGGTCTATTCCACTATTAAACTAATCTGTAACACTTTATTTTAGGGTACACTAATTAATATCTAACTGCGTGCTAATTCACATTGTTGTAGACGGTTAATTTGTCATTAATTATTATTTATTCAGCCCTTATTAATGTCTCCTCATTCCTCATAAGTTTATTCTGTTATTAGTTAAACATTTACAAACACTTTCCTATTAATACACTCCTTATTACTGCTTATTATTATGATACTAAGACATTTGTGTCCATGAATTATGATTCTAATAAACTTTTGATAATAAATGTGTAGCACAAGAAATGTAGTTATTACTTATTTACACTTAATAAATGTAACTTACTCTTGTGTAATAAAACACTCTCTATTAGGAGTTAATAGAGTCCAACTAACCATGAGTTAAGTCATTAAACTCTGATTATGTTCCTCGTTATAAAGTGATGCTTTGATTGTTGTTAATAAATTACAAGTTCATAGTCACTACACGTTCGTAGTTAATAAATGACGAGCAGTGTTGGGAAGGTGACTTTTAAAATGTATTCCCCTACAAATTACAGATTACATACCTCAAAATGTAGTTTGTAACATAATCCATTAAATTACTTAAATTGAGTAACATAATCTGAATACTTTGGATTACTTGATATTGTCTTGCTTTTTTTAAAACGACATGATTGTAGGAACCACATCCTGAAAATACTTGTTTGTTCTCTTCAAATTGTCTGTTGAGCCCAAATCTCCATGAACAGGTAATTTTTTGCTGTAGAGCACAGGTGTCAAACATGCGGCCCGGGGGCCAGATCCGGCCCTACAAGACCTTTAATCTGGCTCTTGGCTGGTTTTCTTCTAAAATATTTAATTATAGTTTCTATTAAAATATTGTTAATTTTCTGTGGTGTTTATCACAGCAGCGTCTCCAGCGTCTCTGTACGTGGCCCCTCCCACCAGAGCAGCACAAATGAAGACTTGTCTCTTTCCAAACGCTCTTAAAGGACGATCGTTTTGACTGTTGACCGTGACACCCTCATCAGAAAAATGTCTAAAATGAGAAAAGTGGAGTCGAGTGCAGGATTTTACAAGAAAAATTTACTTATTCCTGTTTACAGACAAGTTCATGTTAAACATTGTGTTGAAATAGAATTTTCCTTAAAGTTTCAGGTTGTTCATAATATTATAATATTTTGTAAAAAAAAAAAAAAAAAGAGTTAATCAATTAAAAAATATGTCTGTAATAGATTTGTGTTTCTCTGTACAAATATTTGAACTTATTGTTATTTTTGGAGGTTATATGTCATGAGTTTTCTGATCCGGCCCCTTTGGGATCAAAGTCGGTTGGATATGGCCCCTGGACCAAAATGAGTTTGACACCCCTGCTGTAGAGAATTAAAGACGAGGAAATCTGAACATAAATTGTTTTATCTGCTAAAAGAAAATAAAAAGTCCAGTCTGTTCTTAACCATATTAAAAATATTACTGATGGAGAAAAGATTTTTATATGAAATCACTGCTGCCTTCAATTATGTCCACCCTAATGTCAGTGTCATACTGTTTATTTAAAAAAAAAATTTAAAAAAATAATAAATCACTTTCAATACAAACAGAAAGGCACCAGCCCAGTAAAAATCTGTAATATTTGATGTTTTTTACTCAAAATGATGCAGAATCAGATTCTTAACAATGACAATTATTAACGACCTGGTCCACTGTGTGACTGACGCCACCAACGTTAACAAGACGTTTACGTGGCTCTTACTGCCGCGTTCTGTTTCTGACAATAAGAGGAATTATCAAAATAAAACTAAGAAAATGGGATATAGCCCAAAATGTGAAAACAGGAAAATACCACCATGTAATCCATTTATTTGAACAAAGTAACTGTAATCCAATTCCCACTCATTGAAACAGTAACTGTAACTGAATACTGTTACTCATAATTTGTACTCTGATTATGTAACTCCAGTACATGTAATCTGTTACTCCCCAACACTGATGATGAGTTTGACACAAATTGAAATGCATATAGTCTCTATTCTGAAGTGCTCTCCTCTTCACACTTAATCCACGTGTTGTGACATTAATACTAATAGTTCATGTATGAATAAAATAAATATGAACACTTACATAGTTTTCAAGTATATTCTAGTCTAGGTCACCTTTACCTTTATCAAATGTGTTATAATGTGCTGTGAACTGATTTATGTCCAGTGTTGGGGAGTAACAGATTACATGTACTGGAGTTACGTAATCAGAGTACAAATTATGAGTAACTGTATTCAGTTACAGTTACTGTTTCAGTGAGTGGTAATTGGATTACAGTTACTTTACTGAAATAAATGGATTACATGGCAGTATTTTCCTGTTTTCACATTTTAGGCTAAATCCCCCCTTTTTTTTTTTTTTTTTTAAATTCCACTCATTGCCGGAAACTAAACCAGGTCTAAACCAGGTCTAAACTAGATCTAAACCAGGACTAAACCAGGTCTAAACCAGGTCTAAACTAGATCTAAACCAGGTCTAAACCAGGTCTAAACCAGGACTAAACCAGGACTAAACCAGGTCTAAACCAGATAAAGCAGATAAAACTTCTTATGTGAAGATTTCCTCGTCTTTGTTTCTCTACAGCAAATCAAGTAATCCAAAGTATTCAGATTACATTACTCACTTTAAGTAATTTAATGTATTATGTTACAAACTACATTTTGGGGGATGTAATCTGTAATCTGTAGGGGAATACATTTTAAAAATCACCATCCCAACACTGTTTATTTGCCATAAAGAAAATAAAAGCTTTAACTGAAACAATCTGTAATCAGTACGTTTAAGACAAATGAACTCTTTTTTGTGCTGCTGTAACTGTGTAACTGAGGGATTCACTGGGGGTGTACATTCTTCAATGTTCTAGATCAGGGGTGTCAAACTCATTTTGGTCCAGGGGCTGTGTCCAACCGACTTTATCCCAAAGGGGCCGGATCAGAAAACTCAAAAATAACAATAAATTCAAATATTTGTGCAGAGAAACGCCAATCTTTTCCAGAAATCTTTTTTTAATTGATGAACTCTTTCTTTTACAAAATATTATAATATTATGAACCTGAAACTTTAAGAAAAATTTAATTTCAACACATTGTTTAACATGAACTTGTATGTAAATAGGAATAAGTCAGTTTTTGTTGTAAAATCCTGCACTCGGCTCCACTTTTCTCATGTTGGACATTTTTCTGATGAGGGTGTCACGGTCAACAGTCAAAACGATCGTCCTTTAAGAGCGTTTGGAAAGAGACAAGTCTTCATTTGTGCTGCTCTGGTGGGAGGGGCCACGTACAGAGACGCTGGAGACGCTGCTGTGATAAACACCACAGAAAATTAACAATATTTTAATAGAAAATATAATTCAAATATTTGAGTAGAAAATCAGCCGAGGGTCAGATTAAAGGTCTTGGAGGGTGTGGGTACAGAAAAAACATGTTATGTAGACCTATAGATAGTCATACGTGTTTTTCACCCTGTTGTCATTCCAAAGTCCATAATATTGGGTGAATTAGCATGAACAACACATAATATTACCCACAGTATTCCCCCTTTTGATTACATCAAACATGTAATCACCACCTAAAATAAGAGGAGCAAGACGCTACCTCCACATAATAAATCCCCATATATGAACAAAATAAAATAAAATAAAAAATTTGTTAGCTTTAGCTTTTTTATAACATTTCCCAGATTCTTGTTAACACAATATACTTGAATAACATAGTACATAATCAATACATGACACTCGGACAGCGAAAATAAGAGACCAGGAGCACATACTCAGGAAGGTTTTATCTCTATTTAATCAATGGATAAATTTGTAGGGTTTCAATCAAACCCAATTATTGGAGTCAGAACGTGAGAGCTGAGAATCAGCAGAGAGTAACACAATTTGGGAGACGGGAGCATTTCGTGTTAAGGCAGTAGTAATTAATCGTTCTACTAGTGATCTGAGACATGGAATAATGCAACATCCAATTACAACTAAAACAGCTAATATAATCAGTATAGTGGTACATATGGATATTATAGTAGCCGTCCAAGGGCCAAATATTTTGTAGAGCCAGTTAAACCAAGTATCTTCAGATACGCCAGAATTCCTACCCAGTTCCTCAGACAAGGATTTGAGTTTGGACAAAGCTTTAATAATCTTTCCATCAGGGGATGTGTTGTTTGGTATATAGGTACAGCATTCAGTTCCAAACATGCTGCATACAGATGATTCTTTGGCAAGTAGCATATCAAGGGCAATTTGATTTTGCCAAGCCATAAGTGAGGTAGGACCTAACTGTTCAACGATACCTTCCAATGCTTCAATCGTATAATAACAACAGAGGATTGCATCGTTGAGTAATTGATTTACGCCCTCTACAATGTTTTAAATCTGCTTGAAAAGCTGCATCATCTTTTCTATTTTTTATTAGAGTAATTCTTTGTGGGTCAATTTTAAAAGTATTTTCTGCTGGTTTTTGCTGTCCATCGGTACTGGCTATAACTCTGGCGATCTCTGTTGCATAATTGTTTTCTTTTGACAGGCAAGTGTCTTTACAGACAACTTGTACATTTAATGCATGGTCTATAGCTGGTATAACCGAGCATGCAATCTAATACTTCACATACATCAAATACTATATTACAAGTTTGTCCTTCGTAGCAAAGTTTTACTATTTTTGGTGCTCCCCTTTTTACCCTTTTCTGTGCTCCTTGTGTCTTACTGTTTTTGTCGTCTGCCAACTCCATGTCGTGGCTTGTCATTTTGCTTGTTGACTGTCCGAGGTCAGTAGTGGTTTCAAAGCTTCTATTGATAGGGACTATAACAAAACAAATAAAGCAAAAAGAAATTAGCATAATCAAAGATAGACATAGAAAATTTCTCATAAAGCATGGCCTGTACTCTCCTTTTAAATTATTTCCCCCTTTTCTTCCCCTCCTCTGCTGGAGCCCCAGTAGCGGACGGCGGTCGAGGTGCGTCTTCAGGTCCTCTGCATTCAGCGACATCTGGATTCGATTGATCTTCTCCATCTTCATCTTGGATGGTATACAGATTTGCTTGGGCTCTTTGGGTCAGCTTCTTCTTCCAGCACCTTGTTGTTCCAGAAAGCCTTCAACTGGTTCAATGTAACAAACTGAGACATTGCGATACCTCTGGGACTTCTGTGTTATCAATTATAGTGTTATCTTTTTCAGCTGCTGTTGTTATCAATTGGTTATTGTTTTAATTTTTTTTGGATTGAGTCTTATTATTTTAGTATGGTGAATCACTATTTTGGTTTTGCTCGAAATTTGGTCCGTGTTAAACTGGTCGATAATTGTTTTGGAATGCTTTGTTTCCTTGAGATTCCTCTTCTTAGTTTTTGTTTTATGAGTTATTTTATTTCGCAGACGACCTGTGGACACTAAGGCTATTTTGATCTCGCTGGGCGGCTTCCACATCCTTAGTTGGATTTCTTAAGAGAAGAAGAAATGTATCTTAGATAATTTTGAAGTATTATTTTAGGAGCCAGCATTATCTTTTTATAGTTTTGTTTGAGATTATTTAATTACAAATTATTTTAACAATTTTAGTTTGTTTTTGAAATAACAGTGTTATTTCGCAATCATTAATCAATTTTCTGTCTAACCATTTTATTTCAATGCAAGAGTATTAACCTCAAGTTTCAACCTCAAGTATAATCTGAGACTAAGTCATGGGTCAACTTAAACATTTTAATTTCCATTTTTATTTTAGTTTTCCTAATAATAATTTTTAGTGATAACCCTGTTTTAGATACTAGATTTGGGACAAGCCAGAAACAGAATATGAACTTCAGAATGAAAAAACCTTTTAACTATTATTGCAATTTTGTCAAGATACTCGGCATAAATTGATAATACACGTTGAACTATTTAAAGTGGACTTATAAGAGAATGCATAATTGTACGGATAATACTGAGATCAAAAATTAAAATGTGAGCGAAATTCAGGCTTGGAGAGGCAGAGTGGATCAAACCAGAACTAAACTAAGACTACTTCTGAAACAGAACTAGGCCAGGATCTAATTAGGCCTAAAGCTGAACTAAAATAGAACTACCCCTGGACTAAAATTAAACTAAGGCTAGACCAGATTAAACCACACCTGGACATGAACAGTGCTAAACTCAAACTGAATGGAATAGAACCAAAACTGGACCAGAATAGGACCAAGTCCGGACCAAAGCTGGACCAAGTCAGGTGCAGACCAGGTCTAAACCAGATCTGAGCCTGAACCCAACCAAGTCCAAAACTGGTCCACGCAAGGCCCAAACAAAACTAAACCAGGACCAAATCAGGTCTGAAATATCGACACCATCTGCTCCTCCAAAACCAGAATTCACAACACCTAAATCTAAACATTATAAACAACGCAATTTTATTTTATAGATCAACATTAAGAGACGGTATTCAAACAAGTAAACTTATTTTGTATCATGTCAACTAAAAACAGGTTTAAGGTCCAGGGATAAACACTAATATCAGGTCTATATAACAACCATAAGCGCAACAAGAGAATGTTGTATATGACTTTTTAACTAAACATCGCAATTTTAAACTGTACGGATTATAAGTTTTAAGAATGTTTTCAAATTTTAACACAAAATGATCAGCTACATTTGGTAACCTTATAATCCAGGGCACATTCATCAATTTTTTAATAACCTTCAACAGTTACGAATTGTTAACCATCAGCACCCGCTCAGCCCGACACCGCTGAGAAATGAAATGCTGTATTTAATCAAAAAATGCTCCGTTTACTGTGTTATTACACGGATTTATTATTTCAACATGGAACAACAGGCCATTACCAAGCTTAAAGTCACAGCATTAATTGAATCAAGCCGACAAAGCTTTCAACAATTAACCACGCTGTTTCAGAAACTTCAGCAATAGCCCATCATTTTATTTAAACCATAAATAAGCATCTTCAATCAAGCAAATTGGTAGACTTACTCTTTACCATAAACACAATTGAACATGCTTAGTTAAATTTAAAACGGAGCACTTTTGAACAAATCTAAAGCAAATATACAATGCAGTTTAAGCAGTTTAAGCAACATCAGCATTTCACCTCCCACAGCGCGAACCAGCGTAAAAAACCCACAAACCCACTCCGCCATCAGCCGGACACCAGCACATACGCCCCCTGCACACGCCTCCCACCACCGCTCATCAACACGACACCAAACCGCTCCCGCAGATGAACTGAACTCACATACGAGGAGCCAGTATCGCATCGAAAAGTAGCGGCAAGTAACGCCCACAGGTGAGCGCACGCAAAATGCCCAGCCAACAAGCGAAACAACCTCATGGGGAATCAGACACTGACAAAAGCCGAGCAAACGCCAATGGACAACAAATCAATCATTTACCATCATCCCAACCAGCGGGCAGCCATAACAACAATGTACCCCAGAATAAAATGCCACCAATACTTCAAATGTAGCCTGATTAAACTTCTGAACTGTCCTCTCAAACAATCCTAATCCATTTGTATTATTCTTTAATCCGCTAATAATCTCCTCTGATTTATTAGGCATAGGCGTGGCTTTAGATACGGTTCGCGCAGGTGGGGCAGTTACAGGTCCAAAGGTTATTGCTGATAACTTTACGGAGTCGACAGCTATAGGTAAGGTAAATATCTTTTCTTTAGTTTGATGTTTTATATTTGTTTCCTTTGTGCTTAATTTTATGGCAGTCGTCATGCTATTTATTCTAAACGCTCTTACGTCCTTGATTGTTTCTGGCGTTTTTACGGTGCTTATCTCTATCGGGGGACTTTCTCTGTCCGTAGTATTAAAGGTGCTCAATTGTGGTTTATTTCCACATGGTTTTCGAGTAACCAACTCTGTAAAGCCATGGGGAAAGGATACGCACCCACATCCCATATTTGACCAAATCGGTTTTGTTTCCACGTGCATTGAATTGTAACGTCTGTATTAAAATAGTTTGTAATGTTTAGGGATTGACATACGTTTGAAAATGTTTTGTTGTTTTGGGTTGAATATGCTGCGATTTCTTGTTTTTCTTGTGTTACATTTACTAAGCCGATATTTTCTGCTTTGCATGGAATAAATAACACCCCTATTTGTTCAATAGAGCCGTAATCAATTTTACAATGACACGTAATCTTGAAGTTAAACTCAGAATATTTTAGTTCTGGTCTGTTTTTTGCCATTAACACCTGAACAAGTGCTAATATTAATAAACATAGTTTTTGCCTCATCTTTAATTTGTTTTTTACAACACTGCTTTTTAATCAGTTTTCCTCTTTTGGTTTTACTTTTTTGTTCGTATTCTAGGTTAGTTTTTTATCTTTTTCTTTTTTACTCTATTTTACTTTTTGTGCGCAACTTGTTTTATTATTTTTATTATAAACTTCATTAAAAGTTTAGTTTTTTCTCTGCGTAAAAAAGTTTAACCGCAAATAAATTTCCTTATAAAATTCCTTTCTTGTCTCTCGTGAAGGTTAACACGGTATCTCAAGGAATCAATAACTTTCTTAATTACGCTTTATGTGATTAAAGCCTAAAACATACTATTGGTTTTGTTTTCAATCTCAATTAACAATTAACAATTAACTTCTGGCTTATTTTCTACGTGAAGCCTTTTAACACGGATTCGAGCTTTTGCTTTTTTCTTTTCCATGAAGCATAACATGCGATAATTAGTTTTCCATTACTTTTTAAATTGATCACACAAAAGTCCCAAGAAGTAAACCACAATTTCTAGTTTTTATACATTTAGCCAATCTGACAGGAATTCTGAAACAACAAAGGTCGCTGTCATACCTTCTTTTGGGAACGCGTTCTTCGTGTCTTTACTTCCAGGATTTCGTGGGAGGCATCGTTTGCAGACATTACTCTGTCAAATCACGTCGGGGTCACCACTTGTGGGTTTTTTCGGAAGGTTCAATGCGTGTCCTAAAAAGAAGCACAGGAGATGGAGAATCCGAGAGAACAGGCCACTTTATTTCGTCATTTTCCATTGAGAGGGATTCAAGTTGATTACCAAGTACAACTGTCACCCCGGAACGACGTCTCTGACCAACTCAAAATCAGGGGTAGCTTTATACTACATCTTGACAAAACATTAACTTGTTGATTTAGCATATACAGCAAGAAAATGAACAATACTGCTGACCCAGTGCACCTTATCATGGGTGGGAACATGCCACGGGGACCACATATGTCAGTTTTGCTGCTTCGTGGCATCTCAAAGTCCAGAAAAACATGTTCTTTATGGCACTTAAAGTACAGAAAAAACATGTTATGTAGACCTATAGATAGTCATACGTGTTTTCCACCCTGTTGTCATTCCAAAGTCCATAATATTAGGTGAATTAGCATGACCACCACATAATATTACCCACAAGGGCCGGATCTGGCCCCCGGGCCGTATGTGTGACACCTGTGCTCTAGACTGAGACAGAGATGAGCTGTTATTTCTTTATGTGCTGCATTTTGAAATGTTTTCAATCAAATACAAGTGTTGATATTTATGTCTATATATTTATGATCAACAGTGACAGTTCAAGTAAAATTGGATATATTCCATAAAATATAATTGTTCATTTAGCATTGTTTTGTACAACTACCTGTTCATACATGAACTAT